CATAGTGAGTATCCTGTCATGCTTATTTGAGGAAGAACACTCATTGACTTCAGTTTATTTGAACATACTTTTGCTTTAACAGAAGTGGTGCCATTGTAACAGTGAGGAGCTGTTTTTCAACCGTTGGGACTTTGGAATGCTGAAAACAGCAAATCTCTGAAATGTAGCCGAGAAGATGATCGGATCTGTTTAAGTTAGGGTGCAGAGTCACTTGGAAAATAGCCTGAGTGCCTCTGGAAAGTAAATTTACAAGTATGATATCTTTATTGGGCTGGAAAGTACACCTGCAAGAGAGAAAGGAGAACAGAGGAGAAGGTGTTTTTTTTTTTTTAATTCGGGTTTTTTATTTTTTTTCTTCCTAAATAGAAACCAACCATGGACTAACAGGATTGTGTTTAGAGCAGAGATGTTTGCATAGTCATGGAAAAACATGTGGTTTTTGTCAGGGTTAAGGCTTCCCTCCTACTAATGTTTCTTAATTAGTTCTTTTACTCCCTGCCTGTGGAGAGTGAGAGTCTGGAAAACACACTTCTTCTTGGGCAGAACTTTGATCGTTGCATTTCCCTACTTCTACCCTCACCTCATGTGATGGATTACATACCAGCAGTTATTTCTGCCTGGAGCCTTTCAGAAACAAAAGAACTCCATGAGTCTTCTGTGAACATCTCCAAGTGGAAGGCGGCCTCTGTGATTTAGCTAGTATTGACTACTTTGCTCTTCCTTGAAGAATGATGAATAATATTGGTGTTGAAGAACACGATTTGATAAGAAGGTCTTGAGATCCATTGTATAGTTGAATTTTCTCTGAGGTACAGTAATGACATAGGTTACAACATCTAACTTGTGTAGACTATTGTTGACCAAACTAAATAGAGTTGTGCAAAAAATCTTAGTATATCCTCTATTAGTGTCTGCCTGCTATACTTTTGAAAAAAAGTAGTATGCGTATGAGGTATTTATATGTGTATCTCTGATCAGCTAGATTCTACATGTAACATGTAGAAGTGCTAATTGCTCATCCTACTTCTTGCCTGCCTCTGTCTACCAGTTGAGTTCTGCCTGCTTGCATCTCCTTGTGAGCTTTGTGTAAATGTATGTGTGAAACAGATCATGCTTCATGCTGAAAGTGGTGGTTTGCTTTCTCTGTTGAGGAAGATGGGCACCAAGCTGGGTATCAGGAAGGAAAGGATTATTCTGTTTGTGGTCTACTTTGTTAGAGATGGAATTAAAATGTCATGAAAACTATACAGCAAGGTACAGATTTACAAAGGGAGATGGAAGAGAAGAGGATGCTTCTGCATTACCTTACATGATCATATAGTAGTGCTCTTTCTCCTCCTTCATGAGGTCAGGACTGTGTTTACCCTGGTGCGGCTGTCTGTATACTTCAGTGTTTCTTAACTAGTGCCTGTTCACTGGCTTAAACAAGAATTCCTCAGCATATCTGTCTACGATGAGTCTCTAAAAAACAAAACTTCCTTCCCTCTTCGATCTTTCCCATGTGAGTTTTTAGTTTGGGACCAAAGATGAGGGATTAATTACTAGCTAGTTAGAGTGCAGAAGATGAACAACCAAAGATAGCTGGAATTGATGTTTCTTTGAGCTTGAAAACTCAAAGGTAATGTGGAAAGGCTTCTCACAACAAAGCTCAGTGTGCACTCTGTTCAGTTCACTGCTTGCCTTGTGCATTTACGCTATGGTCTGTGTTGTGACTGATCTCCTGAGGCTTTCAGACCTCTTACACGCCTTCATTTGTTTATTATAGGAATAGGAGTTTATAGTAATGCTGTTTATACTAAAGATGGGTGAACCATTACAGCAATAAGAGAAACCATCATGAACCTTTGCCCTGAACTCAAACCAAACTCTTTTGTGATTTTTAAAGTTCTGTTCGGTTTTCAGTGTCACTGTACTTTGTTCTGTCAGGACTGAAAAATGAGTGCCAAAATGTAGATGGTATTTCCCGTGTCAACCTCAGATTTCACAAGCAAATCTGCTCTCATGCCAGGGAGTGTGGAGTTTCTTAGACCTCACAAGTTTCAGTAGTGAGTATAACCTTTCCAACTCCTGCTGCTTAGTGCAGCTAGCTCAAAGCGCTTCTCCAGTGAGGTTTGTCCCTCACTATTTCATATGGGACAAGATACTCTTTATTGAACTAGTAAGCATAACTAGGGGAACGTGTGCAGATGAAATACTGAAACAGAAAGTATTGTGTAGCTGCATTTCCCTGCTATTCAACCAAGGGCGTAGTGACTGTCCAACTTTGGCCTCCTTCCTGCTTAACTGTGGTGCAAGCCTGTCAGCTGATTGTTCTGTGAAATTATAGTGGAGCTGCCCAGTGCAGAGTAAGAAAGTAAACTCTCTTTTAGGCTCTATCGGTTTTGTTTTGAGAGCAAAATATTTGTAATGTGTTTCTGGAACCTGAGTTTCTCTAAATTTATTTGCTGTCATGTAGGCTTTTCTGTTTCATATTCCAGACTTGAATCCAGTGTTGAGCTATCCATCTAGTGGAGTCTGATAGATTAGTAGGGCCAATCTTGGGAGTAATCAATTCAGGTTGTGCCTGTTTTCCTCCTTTCTGCTCCTGAGAAGGAACAGTCTTCCTTCTTCCCTGCCTCTCCCACTCTCTCTGTTTATTGTTGTATCAGAGAATGATCTGATGTTTGTTTTAACACTGAGATGAAGCTGAATTCACTGCTGTCCAGCACTCTTTAAAGTTGGTGTGCTACTTGAATATTTATATCATGCTGACATTTGCTTACTTTAGAGAAACTTTATTTCCTTGCAATATTTATCATAGTATCCAGGAATTTCCATGTTGAACTGCTGCTGGATCTAAATATTGTATATAGTTACCTGGGTTGAAGCCCAGTTGCCTAAGGGAAGTTAACTTTCAAAGAACAACAGCCAGCTCTGTGGCATTAGCTAGCTTAAGAAAGAGCTGGCAAAGATTTTTCCTGGGCTGACATAGAGCAGCCTGGAAAGAAGGCTCACACCTCACTTCAGCTATATAGGTAGCTTTGTCTAGCTCATTATAGTGAAAGCAAAGAGTCTTTTCCCTGTGTACCTGGCATCATGCATGGGGTGCCTATATCTGATGTGATCTGTTGACCTAGTTATGGTCTGGGATGGAAGATAAGATTTGACAGCTTTTGCATCCTGTTTTTTCCCCCGATTTCCACCAGCCCCTTTCCCGAAGGTTAAGGGAGGAGGGCTTGTGCGGAATCCAGTTCCTGCCTTCCTGACACACTTTGATGCTCTGACCCCCTTTTGTGCATAGAATAGAAATGACCAGCTTGAGGTTTGATCACATCTCAGCCTCCTGTTGTTTCCCATCAGCTTATATGACTCTCTTGGGCTTCTGGGGCTAGAACTGCTCTTTTGCTGCTGTACGTAAAGAGAAACCATGATTTATGAATCAATTAATCACTGCATGCTGAGGAGCTGTTCACGGTAGTTAAACAGTGAAAATAAAATGCTTGAGTATATAATAAAGATGGATCATAACGAATATGCCTCTTTACCAATGAATTTTCTCCCTCCCTGTTATTATACCCTCTACCCATTCTTTCCCAGCACAGCCAAACTATCAAGACATGAAATTTATCTATATTGGATGGCATGGGGTTCATCAAATTACTTGATAAAGGGTAATATCTGTTTGTGTGATTTCCCCCTCCCACATAAATGCTCTTTCAGTCTGATTTCACTTTTCTACTAAAGCCACAAAGAGAAGAAAAAAATAATAAAGATTTTGATACTACTGATTGTAAATCTCTTTAATTAGTCATAAGAAAATGCACCAATAAGTCTCCAAAACTTAAGGAGGGGAAGGTGAAGGTGAAGTCTGCCCTGCCTGGTCTCTAAAGCAACAAAAATGTGGTGTGAAATTTCCATCACATGGTTGCACAAGAAATATTTCCATGACATAACTGTCATTGTTTGCTCTGCCTAACGCACACATCGTTGCTGTATGTTTCTAAAAGTGCATGATACTGTAAGAACTAAATAAACTTGGTGGTAAGCCACTGCTAAGACTGCTGTTAGGCTGCACAACTTACTGAAGCACTGTGTAATTTAGGCCAGCGTTCGGTGACTGTAGTCGGATCAGGGTGGTATATTGCTCTGTGGAGAGCAACACTGACGTTCAAAGATCTGCCCCTGAGGTAGGGATATAGGGCAAGAGGTTTTAAACCTGAGCATGTGCTTCTGCACTAAAACTATGCTTTCCAAGAAGAAAATTATTCTTTACAAATTATTGACCCTATACGTGTTCTGTTTTCTATATAAAATTATTGGTTTATTTTACGTTACCAGTAGATAACCAAAATAGTGGTAGACCATTTCATTAACAAAAACACGTTGTCGTTCTAGCTGAAAAGTGTATTCTTGTTTAAAGAAATGCTGAAAGGCGCTTGAAAACTTTATCAAATATTGATCTGTTTTGAATTCTGAAAAGGATTTTTGGGGAGTGATGGTACTTCTGTTTTTTCATTGTTTTTTTTTTTCTTTATAGTTAGGCTTTAAAATCTTACAATTTTGTTGCAGAATATTTCCTGGCTTTTCCGAGTACCAAAAGCTGGCATCGATGAGTAGATGGATTTGTGAACCTTGCTAGAAGCCCAGTGATTTTTAGTGGAGTTGCTCCTGATCTCACCTGTGTAACTAAGAGTAGATTTCATTCAAGCCAGAAATTAGGTGCAGTGGTGTGAAGCAGGTTAATTCATTCTCCCTGCCATGCATTGAAGCCTGCAGTGAAATTATAATATTTGCCACTTATCAGTAAAAGAATTTTTTTTTCCAACAGTCATTTCTCATTTTTGTTCAGCTCTGCTGCTGGCATATGTTGACTGTATCTAATGGCCTTTGTTTGTATTCTAAGCTTATCTCGTAAATTGGCTTTTGAAATGCACAATCAGCAGCAATAATATTTCACTGTGGTGACCATGGTTAAACATTTCTCTCCTGTCTACCCCCTCCCTTCTCTGTTTGTTTTTTAGGACCCAGGTTTCTCTTCGGTGATTCATGACAAGCTCCAAGTTCCCAATACCATTCGTAAGGCATGGAATGAGAAGGACAACAGGTGTGATGTTTGTGCCACGCATCTGAACCAGTTGAAGCAAGAGGCCATTCAGATGGTGCTGACCTTAGAGCAAGCTACCAACTCAGAACATTATGATGCCTCACCAGGCTCTCCTCCACCTCTCTCCAATATCCCCACGTTAGTGAGTCCCCGGCACATGGGCAGCCTGCAGCCCAGGGACTGGGCATACATGCCTGCTCCTTATGCTGCGCCTAATTACACAGGCTTCGTTGCCAACAAACATACTGGAAAACCCAACAGTCTAGGAATTGTCAATGGGGTGGAGAAGAAAAATGGCTCTCCTGGACACCAAGCCAAGGTCAGCTTTCAGATGGCCACCAGCCCCAGCAATGGTAATGTTCTCAACTCTGTGGCTATCCAGGCTCATCAGTACCTTGATGGCACCTGGTCTTTGTCAAGAACAAATGGTGTCACTCTATATCCCTACCAAGTAAGTATTTTAAAATAACAAAACATGTTCGTTTTCTTCCTATCAAAGCTTGCATGGGCATGCTTAACACTGCCTGTTTCTTTTGAGGAGAAGTAGAGCCATTCATATAGCGAGCACCAAAATGAGGAGTGCTATAAATTCCCTTTTCTCTTTATAGGAGATTGAATTGGAGTAGACACAGATCATGACGAGTATTAAGTAGAACCTTTTATTAATTCAACTGTTTTATCAATAATAGAATCAAACTGTTGTTGTTAATAGCAGATAACTGTTCACACAGTATATGCAATTATTCCCCTACACATTTCACATTCACTCTTGCTCATAATACATGATTGGAGCAACAGGTGGGAGGCCAGCCACACTTGTTTACTCATAAGTGGAAAGCATTCCTGGTGCACCAGTGACTTCTGGATGGGTGTTCAGGAAATATCCAGAGGGTCCTTTGGTTCATCATGTATGCATGTGATCCTATAGTCTTTGTCTGTATATAACAGGCACTACCTCAGTTGATGTGTTCTAAGTTACAGATGTTCTGATTGATGCTATTGTGTGCTGGTGGCCTTCCGCAGATTCGACTGATTCTTGGTGTTTTGATTTTTATATTTTATCATGAATTCAGCAGGTCCACTAGTCTCCAGAGCTTAGCAGTTCTGGGGAGATTTTCATGTACTTACCATGTTCTTTTCCTTTTCTTTGGCCTGCTGTTTTATGGTACGCCACACCCATAAATACCTGTAGAACCCATCCACACCAGCTCGCACAGAAGGGGCTTTTATGACAGGAGCTAAACTTTCCGAGGCACTTAGCTGAAGGTGGGTTCAGAGTGTCTGGGCACTGGCAGATTGCAAGACAAGACTATTCTTCTGAGTTCTCCCAGCCATCCCTGTTGGCTTCCTTAGGCACATAAAAATCTTTGGAAGTTGATCTTTCTACTAAGTTATGAATAGATAGCAAGATAGATATCTGAATTAATATTTAACATTTATCAGTATGAGAGCAACTAACATTGCCATCAGAAAAAAACAATGTTATTCATAAGTATTAAGATATTGTCATGCACCAAAGAAGACTTGATAAAACCAGAAGTGAACTACAGTTATTTTATCTAGAAAATATGTGATTTTATAGTTTTGTGGATTTATGGTCTGGTGAACCTGAATCACATTTGAGCAGATCAGTATGTGATCATAGCTTGATCTAAGAAAAAAAACTAAACAAAGAATGCACATTAAGAAAACTGAATAATTATTATTTGTATTAGGAAAATTAAGTCACTTTTATTGCATTCACAATCTTTTAGATTCATCTTCTACGAAAATGTATTTTGTTTACTTTTTAATAATGTTCTTGCTTCCTAGATGGTTCACTTTGTCTTGAAAATATTCACTAAGAAGAATCTTAGATTCGAAACTTTCCAGACTGATCCTGTAGTTTGGTTCTAGTTAGATTAAGGACTATTCCCTACCATTTCCCTCTCCTTTTAATAACCTTGAAATAGAAAAGAGAAGACAGCACCTAGAGTCTAGTAGCAGATTTTGCCTGCATTCCTCTCCTTTCCTTCAAACCAACCAACACAAAAAAAGAAAACCAAAACAACAACCTCAGAAGAGCAAAGAAACCAGAAAAACTCCAAACAAACCTAGCAATGTTGGTCTGTGATAGACTGTGTTGATAGTAAATCTTTTATTCTCTGTAAGATTGCAACCTTTAAATGTTTAAATTCTCACTTTACTCAAGTGTCACATTTAATTGTCCAGTCAAGGAATAATAATGATAATTTTTTGTCTTTAAACACATTGAAAGGATTTTAGTGTTTGGTATGTAGTATCTGTATCAGACTGGTAATTAGTCAAGTAAGAAGAAAAACTTTGAAAAGTAATTTATTTGTAATTTGAAGTACCAGGGAGAGGCAAGCTTTGCTTTTTCTGCTTTTGTGTGCAGAAATAAATCTTATTTGCTACACATTTTCAAAACATCTTGGGTCTCTCTCCCATATAAATGTATTTTTTGTTATGCAGTTACTGTTACAAAACTCTGCTAGGGAAGAGCACTGGGAAGATAAATCTGTTATCTCATCTTAATTAGAACGTGAATTAAAAAAGAGGCACTAGCTACTTACTTCTGAATGTCTATGTATTAATTGAATTTTCTTGCCTTCCCTTAAGAACAGCGATTAGAAAAACCTCACTGTGCATTAGCTAAGAGGAATAGAAAATAATTTCTTGGGATAAAAATCCTTGCACTTCATACAGAAGTACAGTACCCTTCTACATCATAATCTTGTTAAATTGATGTCCAGGGAGAAGTCAGTCTCATGGCTCTAGACTTAATGGCGCCTGTTGTAGACACCTCCCATTGTAAATTAGCTTTTGTTAGACAGTCTAGATAACTTGACAGAAATGGTTGAGTACCTTGAAAACTGACTGCATTTTCTCCCTTGAGGTATCACCAAAGAGAGAAAACATTAGTTTGGAAGTGACATTCTGTAGCTCAGAATTGACTCACAGCAATGTTAAGCTCCAAAAAGTATTCCTACTGTTGTTAAGTTCAAGGATGTTGCTCCCTTCCTAAGATCTTCCCCTTCGGACTGCCTAAAACTGGAACTTTGTTATGGCGAATGAATGACAACTTTTGTTTCAATTCTGGTGGGGAAAAAAAAAAACAACATAGAAATAAAATGAGCATTGCAATATTTTAGGACTCAGCTGGTACAGTTGTATAGAGCAAGTCTTAAATTATATGCCACTATTCAACTAATTCTGCAGAAAGAGTGATTACTATAAGGAGTAAGTAAAACAAATGTGAATTTATATACTATGAAATTTAGTAATTTATTATATATTTACAGCCTGAAAAATAGAAGTGGTAATAACGTCTTTAACTGGAGGTGCATGTCTGATGTAAAAGAACTGTTCTAATAATTTCATGGAGGCGTTAGGAGACTCCATTGGTAAGTTCCCATAAGAATATGTCAGAGAAAGAGTTGCTAAGAATTGTTTAAGCAAAACTGGTCCCACCTGGAGACTGAGAGATGGCATCGATAACCCTATCAGTCCCTACTGGCCCTGTTCTATGTGATTCCATGTTTAGCCACCCCTCGACTAGACAGAAACAAAGATCTGGTTCCAAAAACCTGTGGTTTTCCATAGGCCTGGCTTGCAAATGAACAGCTGACGCTGTAAGGGGCTGAATCAAATTTTGCTGGCAATTGATCCTCTTACAAAACAGGGAATCAGAGACAGGAAAAGGGAATTGGTTGATCTTAAACAAAAAGCATGGCCTGTTAAAACCCTCCTACAAACACTGGAATGCTGAAATGGTTACCTGGTCAGAGTAAAAGTGACTTTTTTTCTGTTGAATACATGTAGCCAAAATTCAATATAATTTTTGATCCAGTCTGAACATCGTGCCCTTTTGGTCATCAGCAGGTAGCATTTGTATACCCTGGGGATCAGACTGTGTTTTAACACTTGTAAAGGCTTCTGTTGATCTCTCTACCACTCAAAGGGATTTCAGTGCTTCCCTGCTCAGAGAATACTCTTTTAAATTGTTGAGGTTTTACCTGTGAACGACTGTAATTATTTGTGCAGCTGCTAATGGGAATTACAGGATACCACAGTATTAAGTACACTTTTGTTGCTTACTGGTTATTACATAACACTTCTAAAGAAAAAGAAATCATTCGGCTGGGGTACTAATGTAGCAGCCAAAAGTCTAAATACCTTGGTGAAATGACTGCTTCTTGTCATTTTTACAGAGAATGTGGTACTAAATTGAATGCATAATGTTTTTATTACTTTATTATCTGAAGCTGCTAAAGTAGCTGAAACAAAACCACCGCATTAAAGAATGAGAAAGATTTGAGTCTTTAGTAGTTCAAACTGATTTAGTTTGCTTTTAAAGGAAAAGGAGTTGAAAATAGTGACTAGATTAACCTGGTTACACTAAAACAGTTTTTCTGGAGTAAAAGTGCTCCATTATTTAGAAGTAGTTGTTTCCCTTTAGAGTGGGCACTCTGTTTTGGCCTAAATTAACTGCATGATTCTCACATGCTGGTGTGCCTCTAAACCAAAACCATGGCATTAACTGTGTTGTGGTGTGAGCTGCAGAACATCAAGTGGTGGGCATTTCCTTGGCCCTCTAGTTACTTTCCTGGCTCTCCATAAGAATCTTTTCATATATTCAAGTAGATTATTTAAAAAAGCAAAAAAAAAAAATATTTAGCACAGCATGTTTGGTATCTTTGAGTGACACGAAGGTAAGAAAGAACCAGAGAACTGCAAAAGGCTGACCGTTCCAGGAACAATGTGAGCCATGGAAGGGAAGAATGGGTAACAGGAAAGGTGGCTATTGATGTGGGTAGGGTGAGCTGCTCCTGCTCCAGACCTGGAGGTTGTAAAGTTTGAATTTGATAAGGAAAAAGATGTAAGGATTTGTGTAGGGGTATTGTGAACATAATCATAGAATCATAGAATGGCATAGGCTGGAAGGGACCTGAGAGATCATCTAATCCAACCTCCCTGTCATGGGCAGGGACGCCTCTCAACTAGATCAGGCTACTCAAGGCTCTGTCCAACCTGGCCTTGAACACCTCCAGGGAGGGGGCATCCACAACTTCTCTGGGCAATCTATTCCAAAGTCTTACCACCCTCGTACTGAAGAATTTCTTCCTAAAAATCTAATCTAAATCTGTTCTCCTTCAACTTAAAGCCATTTCCCCTTGTCCTATCAGTGGACACTCTTGTAAAAGTCCCTCCCCAGCCTTCCTGTAGGTTCCCTTCAGGTATTGGAAGGCAGCTACTAGGTCCCCCGAAGTCTAATGATATTAAAGGAAAAAGTGTTCCTTTCTCCATTGCACTTAAAAAGAGCCTTTTGACCAAAAGTTTGGAAAATGAGATCTTAAACTACTTGAGAGCCTCTTGGCCTCAGGTGTTAATGATCTCAAGCCTATTCAGAGAGTTATCAAAGGCTTTGTTTGTGTACAATTGATGAAAGCT